CCAAATTCTCTGTCACGGTCTGTGACGGGTACCTGGATTCTCTGTCATGGTCTGTGATGGGTACCCGGGATTCTCTGTCACGGTCTGTGACGGGTACCCAAATTCTCTGTCACGGTCTGTGATGGGTACCTGAATTCTCTGTCACGGTCTGTGGGGGGAGGGGGCTGGGTGCAAAATTTCTACCCTATACACTTCAACACTCCTTTCAGATCGTGTTTCACAAAATAGGTATATATGCATAGGTATATACAATAGATATTAGTGAAGTCCTCTTGGTTCCCATCATCTTATAAAAAGCGACATATATCTATAGGTGTACAATACTCTCTAAAAAATAGGTATTTCACCGAATCTGCACACAAGATAAGAACTTTTTGGGTTCCGCACGAAATTTACGAACCTTAAAAGGTTTAGTAATTTTCGCACAAAACCATAAAAGGTTCTTATTCTGGGCACAGGTTCGGTAAAATATCTATTCTTTTAGAGTGTAGGTATATGGGTAAATTCAAGAAAAATGTGCTATGATTTGGAAAGGTACTTCTTTCTCCTCTTTTTATTTTTCTATGTAGCACTGGATCAGAAAACAACTTTGGCCGGAAAAAATCTGTTGATGTTCCATAAAATACTGAAGATTCAGTGCTTTTTGTAGGTGCATCTAAGGATGGAGGTAGTCACTGCATTTATTAGGAGGTTTAGAGCTCATATTTTGGCTACTGGTAGCACATCGCGAGAATAGCACAATCTTCCAAGAACTGGTTTGTTCAATTTACCTCGACTGAGATATCATGTTTTTAAACAGAACGGTTACAAAGTTGTTTTCTGATGTAGTGCTACATAGAAAAATAAAAAGGGAGCAAAAAGAAACACTTTTCCAGAAAGGTGGTACGTTTCCCATGGATTCACCCATATGCTATCGATATGGCTGAAGTCTCCTTAGTCCTCTTAGCCCCCACATCCTTTTAAAAAGAGGTATATATGCATAGATATACAGGGTTGCGAAAAATGTTTTGCTCGGGGGT